AGGCTTTTTAGGATTTCTGTTGTGATACTGATCGTTTTGTCAGAGTTAATGAAAAATACAAACAAGTAACAAAATGACAGGCATGGTTTGGGGTGAAAGAAAAAAGAAGAAATGGTTTTACGACCAGTGATCTGGAGGCCAATAAAGTGGAGAAACCTACCAAGAAAAAAAAAATCAGATTTCCAATTTAAATGGTGGAAAAATCATGTTTAAATTGGAAAGTAGAGAGCTTTCACAGTCAAACACATGGAAATAATTTTTAATCTATGGTGGCCTTTTGAATTGTTTTACAGGATCTGCAAATCACAAATGCATCTCTTCTGTTGGACACCAAATTAAAAAGCCTGATTTCAGTATGTCCAGGGGAAAAACCATGGCGAAACTGATTTACAAGGTGAGCTATCATGTCGACATCTCCCTATCTGCTGAACAGGTAGGAACAAAATATCTTGACCCACCATAACTTAATTGGAAATGCGCCTATATACCACCTTTTACCTGCCTCACTTTGTGCACATCATTCGTGCAAAATCGTCCAGCCATATACCTTCATTAAATACATTTAGCAGAGTACTGCTTGTCCCTTTGTATCTGCAAAAGATCTTATAAGCATTTTCAATCTCCACATCATTTCCTGCCAGGAATTACTGTAATACTGCCTCAGGTTTTGTGGTCCCAGCATGCTTTATGATGGTACACTGACAGCGGCCCACCTCTTGGTCAAAGAATTACGCATTACCAACACACATACGATAAGGAAATTGACTTAGCAAAATGAATAAGAAATAAAGTGGGAGAAAAAAAAACTGCAAAGCAACCTCTTTCTGAATGCTAAAAACAATCAGTTTGCGGTTATACATCTGAAACCGTGTTCAAAACCAAACTCATTTTGGTAGTACTTATGTGACGTATATAGTTTTACTTTGTGAAAACCCTGAAAACCACTAACTTTATAGACATAAATGTCTTAAATGCAATTGGAAGCATCACCATTACTGAAAATCTGAAAATGCTATTTCTTAAATTACACCTGACAAGGGATTGGATGTCACATCAGAAAGTATGTTTTCATGTTTAGCCTAAAAAAAGATGGATATTGGGATAATATAAGAGAAGAGAGGTGTTTTTAAATTTATGAATAATTACCATATCAAGATGGTAATCAGATATCTGGTGATATCCATCAGACTCATTCAGCTTTATGCTGAGCAAGATCTAAGGGTGTTCTACAACCACCACACCCCAACTCACCTTCCCAGCAACAATTACTTTTTTATAGTTCACAATTTGTGACCATGGATGGATTGCTAGAAAAAATCCTGCACAAAAAAAAAGGATCTACATAATCAATTATAAAAAAAACCCTGACTGTAATCTATGGTTGTTTTGAATACTTATATAAGATAAGAGTAGATAACGCCTGACAGCATAACTCAGCACACTACTTCAAAGGCTTCAAGATGGGGACTGTCAACATCACTAAGTATGAAGTTGACATCTGCAGTGTTTAATGTTGTACAAACTGGAATCCCAAACTAGGTCATGGGAAAATGTCCATGAAGTATGTCCAACACATGTAGCATGCACTGCTGGTCTACTGGTGGGCAGAGAGAGAGAGAGAGAGAGAGAGAGAGAGAAGGGGGGAGGGGGGGAGAGAGAGTGTATGTTTGTACATGTATATAAGCGTGTGAGGGATTCATTCTCCTTTCTCCACAACTTATCAATATGACAAAAAGTAAACACATGTAACATGGTTTTTCAAGTCCCCCTCCCAACCTCCCCACCCTTCTCTCTCTCTCTCTCTCTCATACCAAACAAAAAATGTGACTTTCCATTGAACAACACACCAAAAATTGCTCTTCGATTTTCTATTCTTATCAAAAATTCACCATTTTCTGCTATTCTGATGAAGTGGGTTACACATTAAATAATAGTGGGCACCTGTGCTGAAGGCAAAAACCTTTTTGTAAATACCAATAGAAATTAAAAGCTTGTACTTCATACATTAGAAATCTAGAAATGAGCTTTCCAGCCAACAGACGTGATAAAACCACATTCCACAGGTCTGTATCTACAGGGGAATTGCAGGCACTGAGTGTACTAGAGAGGATGCCTTGAAGCAGTACTATCAAGTGTCCTTGAATCTCTTTCGTGTGATGAATTAAAATCTCCAACACGCACATATTGGAATACAATGACTTAGAAAAACTCCCTGTTTTTAGTTTGGGCCAAAAATAAACCCAAAGTTCAAATCCTAGTGTAAGACTGTCAAACTTCAAAAACATTCAAAAGCAAGATCAAACAGTATCAAATGCATTTATGAAAAATTATATAATATGTTATTTCCTGGAGGAGACAATGAGGTATAAAGACACAAAGGTATAAAGAAATGGACCTTTTTTACCCCATCAGTGGACCTTACTTGACAAATTCCTTAGACCCTGATAATTAAATTAAGATTCAGAACAGACCTTCTTCAGCCCAAAAAGTGGTTCTTTTCAACCCGTCAAGCCACCCCCACCCCCACCCTCAGGGCATGTATATACAATGCAACAAAATGTGTCACGTCCTGTCAAAATGTGTCACATCATGTCACATCATGTCATGGTTGTGTGACCAAGTGTGTCACTATATCCAGGAAGTTTACCACAGGTAAGAGACAGGTAAAAAAAAATAGGTCAGACAAGTGTGCATAAGCAGCAAACATAAGCCACTGTGCCCTTGCCTGTATTTAACATGATACACAGCTTAAGATCTTACCATAACAATCCACTTAGCCTCTCAAAATCATATTAACAACATGCTTTTTTTTTCTTTCCCCAGGTGAACTACTTTCCCCAGGTAAGCGTTTCATAAGGGCTCGCATCTGACTGGATTTTTATAACTGTGAGTGACTGTACAAAATAATGGGTTGAAGACAACATCCAACTTCCTCTTAAAAATGAAAAATTCAGTCACCCTTTTATTTTGAAAAAGAAATTCTTACACATTCTATTGTCAGCACAGCATACTCCTAACAAGGTGTCATTTGAATTTTCAATATTAAAAACCATCCAACTCATCTACTGACATGACAATAAAATTGCAAAGTTAATATGGCCATAAGTAAGGGAAATATTGGATTAATTCCATGCTGAGACTTAACAAATTTTACCTTGTACAGGCCCTAAGCCTAGGGGTGTGAAAAGGTCTGCTCTGGGTAAAATTTGATCTAGGTACATAGAAGTTTTTATGGTAATAGGTCTGCTTTTTCAGAAAAGACCCCTCCCCCCTTTGAAATTGCTGGCTATAGGCCTGTAGTACAATACTGAAACACAGTTCAACTTCTACCCTCTTTCTCTACAGCACAACATGACAGCCTTGAAAGGAAAGACAAACTTCTCCTCCCTCCATAATGTAATACTGGCACTGTTAGATCCAAATATTATTGAAAATGGCAAAAGTCTGCTCTATGTCACAGCTGGCAACGGGGGACTTTATTTAGCTCATGTATGTCTATAGGTATGTAAGTAACCTAACTATGAACACATATTGACACAGAAACAAAACTGTTGTTACAAATCTGATCTGTGATCTCTGGGCTCCCACATGCACTAGATCCTTTGTCTAATATATACATACATATATCTGGGGTAGCGCTAGCAATCTTTCTCGCTTAGCCATATCACCACATTTTTGTCAATTTGTTATCAAAATGGTTATAATTTGGCTAAAACATGTCAAATCAAGCCTTTTTTCTTTAGCCAATTTCAGTCAGTTTTAGCATTTGGCTAAATTGGCGAGTGTTAGCGCTACCCCAGTGTGTGTGTGTGTATGTGTGTGTGTGTGTATTAGACCTCTGATATCTATACCTTCATATACCACTTCTTCTGGTACCTTAACACATTTGGCATATAAATAATAAAGGTCATGTAGCTCCAAGTATGCATGCCTTCATTGCTTGGCCCAGCCTCATACAATAAGCCAAAATCATAATATCTTAGTTTCAATATATGTACTGCACTTGTAAAGTTCAATGTCACCACTGATAAATACAGGGACACCAAAACTTACTGAATGACAAGATATTTTGTGAGCCATTAAATGGCTCTGACAGTTATTGAATTCTAACAGCGAAACCTTGAAAGGCGCGCATGAATACTCACAACATTTCACATTCATTCCTCAGTTGATAGAAGGCAAGTTCAGCGTTGATCACAATGGAGACCACATAGATGGTTGAACTTAATGGAAGCTGAATTCCTTTGACAGGTTATATTGAAAGGACGACAATTCTTCAGGCTCGGCTTGTCATCACTGCTATACTAGTACTTTCCTGAACGGTAATATTTCACAATGCCTCATGGTCTGTTGAATTCTATATACACACTACTATTAGTATATATATACACTATTCTATACCAGCCAACAGCTGACTGCTATTCACCGGTCAGCTGAGTCACAGCGAGCCTCCGCCCTTCTTAGACAAATACACCCACTGCCTTGGCCTGTCACCTCCCAGATACATACATATAACTCTAACTCTGTCATGCCTTAATAGCTACAACAGTGGCTAAGCCTTATCTAGTCTGTGCTATCAGAACACAAACTTCAAAGGTGTTATAAAAGATATGCTTCAGCTGATCATGTTCAGGTCACGGGTGTGACCTTGTGTAGATAAAAGAACAGTTAAAAACGGGTGATCTTTGCTGACCTGATCTTAAGGCTGGTTGATCATTGTCAAGATAGTCGACACTGCTAAACTTGTGGAAATTATTTCTTCAACTGTGCCAATGGAGATATGTGAATTTATTATGGAAGTTCTTCCAAAATCAAAGGCACTCATACTGCTTACATTATTTTCATTCTATCGCTGCTCATTGAATTAGTTCTATGTGGGTTGTAAGTAAGGGCTCCTACGCCCTGAACATCAATTTAAGAAATATAACACAGTCAAAAGTTATAAGAAATTTAACGTCTAAGATTAAAATTATGAGATCACTTCATACTTTTTTACTCACTTTGAAGTCCAGCAGCTAAGTCATAATCTCTAAGGACTTCACCTGCAATGAATAAAAAGAAAAAATGTATAAGTAAACTATGAAGTATACCACTAAAGCTTGGTTTCAATCTAGTTCATATTTTTTCAAAATACCAAACTTATAGAAAAAAATAACAAAAACTGATTTAATATCTCAACCTAAATAAAATGTCTTCAACATTCACAAAATGTTCCAGAGCTGGTATGGGCTAAGACGGTTAAATGGCTACATTCAAAGCCACACTACCTACAACTAGAAACAGTTTCATTTCTACTTTCTAGTCAAAACTGAATTGACCTTTCTCAGTGCAATCCATCTCAATTGGTAATTATTTCCTGTTCATCACCAATAGCAAAACTAATATCTCCCAGTTGTCCTGAGGAACACCTTGGTTTTGACATTACGCTGGCTTCTAATGGTGAAGCTACTCTTGCCGAAAGATGGTTTGGGTTTAGTCTTACCTAATTAGAATGACAAGCCTGTAGCCAACAATTTCAAAGTATGACTGGAGATGGGGAGGGAGGAGGTGTCCAATCCTAAAACAAAATGAACCTTTTGCTATAATGGAATAAAGCCTAGATAAAACTTCGATCCAAAACACCTTTTACTTTGATCTCATTTTATCTCCATCCCCCACCCTGGCCTACCAGCCTGAAAGTCCCACATAAACTGTAAACAAGTCCCAATTTGAGCCTCATAGCCTAGCTATCCGACCTATAGAAAATTACATAGACACCCCTGTGGGATCATGCTACGGAATACAGCTCTATGTTGATGTCATCTCTACTATTTCCAGGATACAATAATTTCCAAACATTGCCTGTGCTGATATGTTAAAGCCGCACCCTGTCTGCATTACCGTCATCATAAAGCAATTGAAAAAATACTTGTAAGCAGCTTCCATGCAGTTTCTCAAGTTGTATTATCTTCTCTTGTAACCCTCATATGACACAATCTTCACAGCACAGTATTCTAACTATTTCCACACATCTGTCCTGCCGCAGAGTTGCTTGTGGTTTGATATTTTTTCAAAGGAGGAAGCACAATATATTTACTGACTCATATGCTGGAGATTTTAATTGGCAAACGTTTGAAAGAAAATTTTAAGTATGAGTAAGGGGAAAGATCTCCTGCTTGGTGTTTTTCAAAAAAAAAAAAAATTCCCATAACTCAAATGCTTTTGTGTAAAAAAATTTAACTACTGATTTAAGTAAAAAAAAAAAAAAAAAACAAACAGGGTAGGTATACCTTTCCATTAATCAGCAAATTGTATTCACCATAAGTAAAAAAATTTAATAAGCAATCCCTTACATTTTATCAATAAAAACAGCCAAGAAGAACGCCGATACGTTTATTAGTGAAAATTTTGCAGAATGCAATTAAGTTCTTTCAGTGACAAGTTGGACAAAAATGTAATCCAAATGCAAAATCTCTTATTACACAGCTTGGACTCTTTGTTTTCCTTGTGAATAAAAACTGGTTTAAACAACTTTCATCACATATGAATTGATTTACCCACTGTTTAATCATAGCAAGTGCATCACCACACAGCAAGCACTCTATCTGTCGATTGCAATCACACCAGTCAGCCCAATTCTGACGGCTGTCTCCTCGCAATAATACCTCATCAGATCAGCACAATTTCATTTGACAATTACAACAGCAAAAAAGTCGATATACTCCTCCATCATCAAACTTTGCCTAGGTTGTGGGTACAAATGACAAAAGGCTGCTAATTTACCCACACAAAACATATGGTATAATTTGTTATCCGAGTCACCTTCTGTGACATCAATCAGTCTAGAGTCCTAGTGCTGAGAGCAGTCTTAAAAACACTCAGAACTTTTTTGACAGTAAATACAAGGCGCTATATTCCAGCCACCTTTAATAATTACGTCATTTCCAACCTTGCTCTATGCGTACCCACATGTGGTTTGCGATCCCTATGGCCACTAAGTCTGTGACGCAATTATCAAATATATTTTAAAAAATGTATCTTTTCACCTAATTTTACACTTTTTTTGAAGAGGAATAACAATCAGTAAACTCGTTAGCGTATGAGAGTGCGTAATTACGCGTTGTTTTGCTGTTTTTACGCATTGGCTGGAGCCCCAGCGCGTACGAATACGCACACCTTTGGCTTTGAAGATCGGCGAAGTTGACCAGTCCGTTGACTGTTGACGGTCAGACTCATGTTGAAAATGTCATAATTGATTCCCAAGTGTCTCATTTTTTTCTTAAGATATTTGAATTACCCGACTAAAACATGCTTCTTCTTTCACTGACCCGCAGAGGATGACGTAATCTTCTCTGATTGGTCATAATATGCAAGTTTTAGGTCAAAGCACGTGTGCCTCTCTTTAGTATAAACAAGGTATGAACAACGATGAAATGATCGTTTTTTTATTCACATAATTGTTCAACATTTTAATTGAGCAACCATACGTTTAGGACCAATTTAAATCACTCGCCCAGACCAAATACTTTAGGCCAGTAACCCTTGTGACTTTTGTAGTTTTAGTCGTCAGAATAAATTTTTAGTCGCANTTTTGGATAAAAGGATAGTGGGTTATTGTTATGAAAGTGAACTGTGTGATTGCATGATTATTAATACACAAAATTACACCTTGATGAGCATTTTTTAATTTTACCCCTTCATTTTGAAAATTACCCCTTCTTTTTTTGGGCAAGGGGTACGGTACTCCCTTAGAAAAATCCTACCGAGTGCACTGAACAATCATTTCAGGGTGCAGATGAATCTTTTCAATATTCAATGTCTGGGTCACCCTTACCAGGGATCTTGTATTTTAAAGAAGTTGTATAAAGAAAAACATTGTAAGAAGAAAAACTAGAAGTTTTATTGTAAACAAATGCACAACATAAACAGTGATAAAGTATATTCATCTATATACCTATCTATATCTACACTACAGCCTATCTACTGTCTACACTTAGATCCATATTACTATCTAAATGTAAACCCTATATATAATCAGCCTGTTGATCTCTTAACAGCATTATCAGTTACATAACTGTGAAAAGACTGAGTGCAATCAAACAATTGTTCCAAAAAAAAAAAAAAAGAGTCTCTAAATACTTTTTTTGCCAATTTTCTCTGTGCCGCCAACACACATTTTTCGTAACAAAGAGCCAACAATGGCGTAAGCCCACACAGGGAAGAAATGGGTGGTACATACCCCGGAGCAGGGAGATCCGACTTTTATGGATAATAATAAAGTTGTCTTTCCAGCGTTATATATTCCAACATAAGATAATACACATCGTGAAAACAGATAGTGAAATATGCAATTACTCACTGAACATTGGCGAAACTATTTCCCCAGAAACATTATAAAATTAAGAACAAATGAATTAAATAATGTGCCTTATGTTCCCAATCCTTGTGATAATGAAAGACAAAGATAATCTTTGTAGCTCGCTTTCACCAATTACTGAGCAAAAATCACGAGTTAGCCATGTGAGATATCATTCCTTCTGAACTTCCTGCATTCTCTTTTCTTGCATGAGAGTACTAAAAGAATCAACACTAATTTCTAAAAGCACAACTTCCAAGTGTCCTAAAAGAAATTTAATAAACCCCTCCCATCCAAAGGTTTTCAAATTTCTGCATTTATAATTCTACCCAATTTTGACAACAGATTTCTGGTACTACTCAAGTGTTCATACAGTAGATTTCTTCACAAGACAGCTTTGTAATATTGGTAACCAAGTGCTTGCACTCCCCCCCCCCCCAAAAAAAAAAAATGTAAATGGCCCTCAAGTGAAAAATCTAATGGAAAACTTAAGTACAAAAGTTACCACAATTACCTAAAATGTACCAACACAGATCAGCAGAGTAACTCCACCCACTCATTCCCACTGAAAATATCAACCTATCTAGATCGATCCAACTCCACAGGGACTCTTGCTGAATGCATTAGATTTACCACGCCTCCTCTTCTTTCCAACACGCTCATTTAATCACCAGTTTTTTTTCTGTATTCTACTCAACATCAGGAGGAGGCGTGTCAATCTCTTATTCCAACAGCATTCAGCTAGAGTCCCCACGGAGTTGAACAGAACTACATAGACTGATAGTTTCATTAGGAATGAACCCTAAGATCAATGCTCCACCAGGAATTTAGGGCAAGTTCTCACAATTTACAGAACACCATATTGGCCTAATCCCCATCGCCTTGGGAATTACCATTGAGCCAACAACAGAAATCTGAGCAATTTTGTGAGATATGGGCTGGTTTCAAAACAATCAACATACTAGTGATCAACTGACCAGCTCAATATTTTATGCAAAATCTGTTTCTTACAAGAATTATACCAAAGCTGTGAAAGATTAGATCCACATGTCCAACTGCACTAAAAAAAGGATATACTAACTGTGACATTAATTACTTGACACTTCCTAGAGTTATAATATGTCTTATGTATATATATTTTTTCTTGCATAATATTATACCTATACATATAATGTATTGAACCTTGCAGGTGTTCATACTGTGTACCTGTAGAGTTAGAGAGCCAGGTAGTGTGAAAACGCACTATGTACTGAACAATAAATAACCCATTAAAAGCACTTTTGCTACCAACAATGGAACAGGTTCTTATTATAATAAGCAGAATACATGTTCTAAAATTTTTTATAAAGTCAAATTGAGCAAACAAAATGTATCAAAACCTTGGGTAAAGTTTGATTTCACCTTTCTGTTGGCCAAAACAACTAATGCAAACTCCTATATTGATTATCAGTCAGTAATATTTTCCCAAAGTCTCACAAAGCTAAACAAATATCCTATTCATTTGTTTTCCACATAAATCTTTGATGTTTGACAATGATAATAGACTTATTCAAAATACAACTGATGGAAAATCCACTAATGTGACTTCCCTGTCCGGGTGGAATCTGCTTTCCACAGAGCGAGAAAGACATTACTATTGGCTGAAATAACTTCGCAGTGCCCCCTGGGGACCATTTTAGTAAGTTATATGGAAATGATATTGTCCTA